ACTTAATTGTTCCTTGACTAGATCGGTGAAACACCTACATTCATTCATATATCATGTATTTTGACGGTGTATTGGATTATTTAGACTTTCGAGATATACTGACAGAGAGAAAGATGATAGGATCTGAGATTATAACTGTGTATCCTTTTTTAAATATATGCTGCTAGAACTTCATGCATACAAGCCTCTAGCTTTAGTTTAATTTATTCATATGCACTCAGTTTTGACTAACGTTTTGGCAGTTAAAAATCAACTATGGTTTAAAATTTAACAATTTTTATTCATTTACTGCGAAGTAAAAACTGTACTCAGTGATATGGAGGCGTTATTTGTCTTGGAAGTCTACTCTGTTTTTGCTCATAACTGAAGAAATTAGATAGCAAAAGTATGAAAGGTAAGAAAAAGAGCAGAAAAACGTCTGAAGAGCCCAATATCTAAGATTTGACTACGTTAAATTTTAACAAGCGAACTCCTATTCTAGGGTAATCAAGAAGCCCAGTGCTTCTGAACAGTGACCGGTTCTTACGGTCGATCAAGCAGGTTGCCTTTTTTAGTATCCATAGGGCAGAAATTGGATTGCGTTTTCTAAATCATATTCATGTTATTCTGTTAGTGGAGATTTGTTCAGTGTAGTTCGATATGAATATATGTGGCTGGTACCGATTTATGCATTTTTGAACGGAAAACAAGGTCTCAGTTTGCCGATTAATCGCCAGGCTCCGATAACCAATCAATAATTACAGGTGGTTAACGCCTGTTATAAACTTATTATACGAACTAAAATTTGCGGTTTACTGAAATCTGGAGCATAAAATTTCAATCCACCAGAAGGTCTAGGCTACTCAAGTAACTTCTCATTGCACATTTTAATGGGCAACTCTTACTCTAACCACCCACGTTAAGTATAAACTTATGAAAAAGGTGAAATTTCCTTGAATTACACTGTAGGGGCAATAAGGTCACAGGCCGCGAGCAACAAAAATAATTAACAAAACTTGCACCAGTATAAGAATCCCCATGCTGCTACTAGTGGCAGAGTTAAAAAGGCATCTGTCTGAGTTCTTTAAATATTCCCGTGTTTAATTTGAAATGTCGGCTTTGGCAAACATTTTTTCGGCGCCTGGAAAAGAGAGTACGTGCAGACGTACTAGCCTGGTTAAGTAAAAGTTAAACTAAATCAATATCAAGCTCTATTCTCGCACACCTTGTTGATACGAATCACCGAATCAATACTAAGGAAGCCTTTCGGGTTGTCTAGCGGACACCAACCAACTTCTCCAAAGGCCTATGCTAATGGGTGCTTGCAACAGCCGAAGCGGTAGCTATACGGCTAAGGAATTCAGT